GCGAAGCCGCGGGAAAACACTAGTACTATATACAATAAATATACAATAACTTTAAAAGAAAGCCATCCTTTCATTTATGCATGTAGATTGCATAAAAGGAAAACCTTTGATAATTTAAATATTTTCATCATATATAATATAAATACTCTCCACAAAAGTAAATATCATCCGATATGTCATATTCAGGCATTTACAAAAAAGCAAGAAACATATGAAATATTTTTTGGCCATTCCATTGGGACTTGATAAACAGCGCGGAACAAAAAGACCGCAAAAATTAATAAATAATATTTTTTTCGGTTTTAATTGAATGTTATGCTGAAAATGTTTTATATAACCGTACATATACAAACAATATTCCACATTTTCATATATTTATAAATAGTTAATAAATGGGATTAAAAATGACATTTGTATAAATAAAAACATCCTAAAAGTCCTTCTGATTGGAATTTGAGCTTTAAAATAAATAGAAAGATACGCACTAACATCTTAATATATAAAATTCTCGTCTCACGATGTTGGGCCGGGATGAACTCTGAAAATGCTAACTCGATGTTAACGTAATTTTTTTTCAAACTGTTTTATTTGTTCCAACTTAAAAGATAGGATAGTTTTTACCCCGTTTATATTCTTTTTTCATTACAAAATTAGCTATTTTCATATATGCCACAGCAATGCGTGGCCGGATGTGCTAGTATTGCTATAAAGAAAATTGTTATCTAACTTTAACTTTTAAGCTCTAAGTACCCATAAGGCCTCATATGGTTAAGTTTATTTTGACATAATGACTGTACTAGGGAGGAAGCAGTAACTTTTTAATAGTTACAGAGAACGTGACCTATTGTTAGTTTTTCTATCGATAAAATCGTTATTGATTTCGGACCACACAAAACGCTTAGTTTCCTTCGAAGCTTATTATTTTAATTATCTTTTATAAATATTTTCTTATATTAATAATCCAGGCCATATATCTGTAAAAAAATAGCGTTCTCTAACAGTTAATCTTCGAAGTGATAAACGAACTACGACAAAATACATACATACATGGATAATATAAACATTTGTGTATTTACATAATATTTTTTTAATTCAATACTTGCTAATTTCCCTATACACCATATTATTTAGCTATCGACTTTACCACTAACACAATATTTTTTTTTAAGTTAATATAGACATTCAAACATAGAAATTCGAAAGAAATGGATGGTTTTAAATAAACTTTATATTTATTTGAAACGTAAACTATAATATAAGCAAAATAAATTTAAATAAATATAATACCATAAAACTGTAAATTAACTTATAATACTTTTTTATACAGCATTCATTGTGCATTAACTCTACTCGACAACAGATGGCGCTACCTGTAGCGTTTACTTGAACTTACGTACAAAGCTTAAGCAGGTACATAATATATTGAAAATATCTTATTAAATATTATTTGAACAATTTTTTGTTTTATAATCAATTTTAGTAAAGATGTACACAACAATAACTGCTAAAAAATTATAATATTACTATTTAATAAATATTTCTTTAAACTTTCATATATGTATATGTACAAAAAGATTTTATTTAAAGTAAAGAGATTTTAGAATTTAAATCTTATTTGCGTTTACATGCATTCGTATTCTAAGACCTAGTTAAAGAGATTCAAACAGCAGGTGTTTACGCTGACGTTGTTAGCTTAAGTTAGGAGAAGTTACAAAGCATACGTTTGAAGTGAACATTTTTAAAGTTTTAGTATGACTGGAATGAAAGTTTATGGTCGTATGTTATGTCTTGTGTAGACGAGTTAAGAATTGAACTGAAATTGATTCGCATTTTTCATATTTATTGAGTTGAAATCGATTAAATAAACTTATAAGTCATTTAATACCTAATTTTATAATAATATTATAGATTTTTTAAAGTATTATAAAGTTATGTCAATTTATTACATATACATACATATATAAATTTCTAATAATCCGAATATATGTATTAAATATTTTTTGGGAAATCTTATTGAAATAGTCATTACTATCGACATAGAGGCCGAAGCTTTACTATTAAGAATTTTTTCTGGACATCATTTCATCATCATCATTCAAACTGGACAGATTTTGATGAAATTGAAACTGCGGGAATAAATCTCATCCCTGAGCTATACCTTAAAACGTAACTAGGGACGAACCCGAATAGAGCGAGGGTGAGTCGCTAGTTATTAATAAACTAATATTCTATGCAATCTATATAAATAAAAATGAGATTCTGTTCGTTGGTAAGCGCATCACTTGAGAACGGCTAGACGGATTTGTATAATTTTCTTACATATTTTTAACCGACTTCCAAAAAGGAGAAGGTTCTCGATTCGTTGAAATCTTTCTTTATTCAGATTAAATTATGTATTTAGTCAAAACAACATTTCTCATCAGTTGGCCTTCAAAAATAATTACCAATAACTGTTTTAAAAATTATTATTTAGTATCTGAGATTAATCGATTAAAAAGGTTAAAAAAAATCGTAACAACCGATTCTAATTAACGTACAACAATTAAATAATAATCGATTCATCGCAAAGCGAAAGAATCCAAGCCCCGTTAATTCGATGGAAAAAAGATAGTGAGATTGTTAAGATATGCAAATAAGAAAGCTTTCGAGATACGAATCGATTTATTAAAATTAATTAAACTTTCAGTTATAGTTCATTTCCATAATTTACTAACAAACATACGTATGTATATTTATATATACAATATGATTGACCTCAACATATTAACTGGTCTGCTAATTTTATGGTGGTTATATATGGTGGTCTTCTATAGAATAATTCTACTTAAGTGACATCTATCGTGTTTAAATATGTAAGTAATTCTATTTATGATGATAATATTCTACTAAGCCACAAATTTTTGAAGATTTTCCTATTTCTTTCACATGGTGATTAGAGTATTCTAACATTGGTTACCGCTTCGATTCTTGTTTATAGCAAATATTTGCACTAATTATTAAATATGAATTTGCAACAAATGATTGTTTTTCCACACTTTCATATAAACAGAAAAGCAAAGTGTTTTAAATATATGTAAAACTGATTTGTTAATTTGTTTGTATAAAAGTAATAAATAATCTCATTAACTCACCCAAAAAATTTAACCGATTCTGATTTTCTATCACCATTACCCAGCTATGTATTAATAATAATCAACACATGTACATTACGAGCGAAGACGCAGGAAGGGCTTAGTGTTATATAAATTGAGAATTCCAACTTAACTAGTGGGCAGTGGGCACCACATTCAATCGGGATATTTTTTAGAAAGTGGACAGACAAACTATGGCAAACGAAATTATGTGAACGTGACCAGGTCGCACGATTTCAGCTCCTTTTAAAATGTCTTTTTTATTATATCGGAAGACGTGTTCTGGGTAATAGGCGAAACCAGACTCAATACATTATTTTCTGCTATAATAACTCTATTTTGCAATTACTTCTATCATTAATATATTGGTTGAAGAACCGTTTGGCTCAATTTGTAGTGAACTTGCTGTGCTAGTGGTCGCAGGTTCGATCCCCGCTGGGGGCATTCATTTGTGTGATGAGCACGAATATTTGTACTCCAGTCATGGATGTTTATATTTATAATATGTATGTATTTAAAGTTATATATGTGTAGTGAATTAACTATTTAGTATCTATAACACAAGCCACATATCTTACCATGGAACTAGATGGTGCTGTGTGTCCCATCATATTCATTTATATTGTTTTGTAACTTACATTGTAGCTTTTTAGTAAAAAAAAAAAGCTTTCCATAACTTTATAAATTTTTCAACACAACTTTCAATGTAACTTTAGATTAAGCTTTAAAGCTGTCGAAAGTTTTATTTTATAAGCACGTGTGGTCTTTATTTAACGATTCTCTAATTGATAGTAAACATAGCTAAACTAAAATTAGCTAAAATCGTTGGAGTCACGAACACAAACGTTTTGAACTATTTACTTTATCTTAGAAACTATGCGGGCTTCGGACGTTTAGATAAATGTTTCAATTAAATAATACTTATCATATCCATTGATTAACGCGAGATGTTATTTATTATTAACTCTTTGGTAAAAACAAAATCTATACTTTAAATATACTTAATATATACCATGGAACTAAACGGTGCTGTGTAGGAAAGTCCCAACATATTTATTTATTTATTATTTAAATATAAATATTTAACTAAGTTTATTTGCGGAATATTGGTTTTCGAACTATGATTTATTTATTGTTATTAATTCAATTTTTTTAAATTTAAAATATTTGACATTTTAAATAAAACTTTATTTTCGGATTATTTCTCGGATTTATTTTGTATGCTTTAGGCTTAAATAAATTATTAATATCTGTTTATACATATTATATCAACACTAAAGAATATTCTGAATTATTAAATTTAAAAAAAGAATGTAGTAATTATAATAATAACAGATAAAATGAAATAAATAATATTGCCATTTTTAATTATAAAACTTAGTAAAAATTTAAAATGTTTAGAATTAAAATCAACATTGTAAGGTACTTTGGTGCAATTGTAGGTTTTTAAATTTGTGAGTAGGCACTGTCTGTAACAAGTATGTGTTTGAGACGTCTATAACCTTAGTCTCTCCTGTGACCATGGTTGCTGTAAAGCATTCGAAACGTCGGGAATCAAAAATCAAAATAAATCCGCGAAATAATCCGAAAAGATAGTTTTATTTAAAATACAATTTACATAAGCCCTACAGCAAGCTTAATGACTTTGCACACGTAACTTATTAATTCACTATGAATTATCCATTGACTCAATGAAATACTGATACCGCATAGTTTTGAATGTAGAGTCGTTGCTGAATGCAACATCTCATAAATATTAAACTTATCACTGCAACATTAATTGCTTACATAAATAAAAACAGATAAGCAAAGTTATATTACACGAAGTAATAACTAAAATAATAAAAAAATATATATTAAAAAACTTACCTAAAACTACTAAAATGAAGCACAAACTAATGTACAAGATCATCAGGAATCTTTGGTAACTAATAAACTAATATTATCACACACAAAAATGGCAATCATCTACGCGATCGCCTATAATTTATATCACAGCACATCACTAGCTACCACGATCAGTCGCACTGCGATCCCATCACTATTACGAGCACATAATTTTTTTTGTAGCCGAGTGCATTCGGACAACTTTTTATTCCCCAACTAAAACTTTCGGTCATCGTCGAAGCAAGTTATTTCTTTTTTTTTCGTCGCGTCCCATCACTAATACGACGAAATACAGTCAATGGCACAGTTTTAAATTAATTTGAAGTCACTACAAACTGTTTAAGTATTATATTGTACGATAATTTGCGGAGACGAGCGTCACAGGTCCGTCCTGTTCGACGGTTGGGACGAAACTGGCCTGAAGTTGGTCGGGATTGGTGAAGAATCAAGAATGCGCGGCGCATGGTTGCCTCACCGGCCACGCTCGGGTTACTAACCGTCTAAAATGTAGAGCCGCTCGAAAACAACCTATCCAAGCGATCCCACGGCATTTGCACTTAGCAGTATAATATAACCTGATAGACTCGTGCATTGTGAGTAGCATCGTACTCGGTCTTAGCCGCTTTCCGTAGGTAGAGACGCATTGTCGAACACATTCTCTTTACTCTATCTCTTTCTATAACTAAAAAAAAACAGGTAACCGTACCGGTGTGATGACTTCGATTTAGAAATTTCAAACCGAATTGCATTCAAAAGTTTATTTCACGCGAATTTCGATACGAAATATTAATTGGTTTTATAATATACATATAAACGTTTTAAATATGCGTTGATTCGCGAACGAAATATATTACGGTAATTAGGCCTACGTTTATTGAAATTATAATTTGAATTTTATATGGATCGTTATCGTAGAGTAAATAGGTGCGTGTGAAATATATTATCGGCCTAGGTCAGGTTAAAGTAAATTAAAATGTCCGCATGGAACGGTAAATAGTGTTCGAGACATGTCTGCGATAGTGATATCTAAACAATATTTATAAATGGTGTCAAAAAACTTTGCTTTATATAAACAAAAAACATATTAAATATTTAAATGAAATAAATGGTATTGTTATTTATGATAATAAAATTAGCTCTATTACTCTTACTCTACATGAGATACTTAAAGCTTTATTTTGTAAATTTCTATGTGCACGTGACGTTATTGTTAATTAGATGCAAATCTTAAGTCAAATATCAATATAAGAATATATATATATATATATATATATATATATATATATATATATATATATATATATATATAAAAAAATGATATTATGTTAGTTAATGAAATCTAGTCGGACAGTATTAAGCACAGAAGTCCTAAAACATTAAGTTGAATCTCCAACAGAGAAAAAAAGGCGATAAAACTTAAAAAGACGTTAAAGTCAACCATTAAGGTTTCGACCATCGAAACAAAAAACGTGTCCTATAATTTAAAAGCAAAATGAATTTAACTTTAAAATACATAGTAAATTTAAAAGTTGTATGAAAGAGTGATAGCTTTGATAGAGAAACAATGTTTCAACGATTCTATCGGCGAACTATATTTCAAGAGATTGAAATACTGCACTATAGAAATAAGTTTCTTAGGAACAAGAGCACAAATTTTTGTTTGTTTTCGCTTATATAACTTCTAAACTTAATTTAACGATAATCATAATCGATAATATTGCTGTAAAATGATAATTTTAAGTCGATAAAGATTTAAGTCGATTCCTGATGCGAGCTTTTAGTAAAGCTTTACGTTAACACATAAATATAACACAAAAACTTAGAGCTTTCCCAAAAATTATAAAATTATTTATCCATACTAATATTATATGCGAAAGTAACTCCGTCTATCTGTCTGGCTATCCTACCTTTTGTAGCTTAATCCGCTGAACCGATTTAGATGAAATTTGGTATGGTGATAGTTTGAGACCCTGAAAAGGACATAGGATAGTTTTTACCCCGAAAACCATCCCTTAAGGGAGTGAAAAGGTAGGTGGAATTTTCTATGGGGTACCAATTATTTCTCAAGTAAGGAATATAAAACTCATCATATCTATGTATATATGTACAGTCTATCTATTCCATACTAAGCGTAAAAACGTACCTATGGACGCTCATACAACATAAATAATAATATCATAAGTATTTTATATTACACAAATGGATTAACATTACAGTTGAGAGTTAATTTTATGCGCGTTAGCATCGGGGATACTCAATTAGTTGACGCTTGCTACCTGCTATTGTTCCTTTTTTCCTTTTACACAGTTACGGGGTTTTGTTTATTAACCGCAGTATTCTTAGACAAAAAATAGATACGAAATGATTATTATATTTCGTTTTTACCGCGTTATAATATACTCGTTCTCAGTAATATATTCGGTAATATAAAAAATATATTATAGTGCTTGTAAATTATTATGAAGATTTATATCAATGTGAATACCGTATTTCATAATAAAATTTCCAAAGGTACCGCATTCGAGTATTGCTAAAGATTAATATTAGCATTATTTTACATAATAGTGATTAGCAAACTGTCACTAACACGCTGTATAAAAAAAGTTGGTAATTATAAAAAAAAACACTTAGCAAATATATATACATATATTTTTTATAATAATTTATATCATTCTACAAACAGACACGAAAATGATAGTAGATATCATAGGCCATTTTATACGAGAGGTTGCACCTAGGTTACTTGTCATCCCAATGAAAGTTGTTACCATGTGATACTAGTCTATTAAAATAAGTATCTTGAAAATATTTTGTGATTAATACACGTTGTTTACAATACAAGTTTATTCATTTTTTGCGCTTTAACTACTGAACAGATTTTAATCAAACTTACATAAATGTATAGGTGGCATCACAAAGACGGATAGGCTCTTTGTCTCTGCCCTACTTAATATACGAGCGGAACTGCAAAAGTATTCCATCACAAACTATACTTATTAAAGCAAATATCATTATTATACGAATATTGTCCACAATAAGGAAAAGCTGTAAGGTTTTATATCTATAGTCTTATAAAAAAAAGTACTTGTTTTAAATGTTATAGTGCAATAGAAATTAGTTTACTACAGCTTTATTTATATTATGTCAAATTAGCAGAACCCGCGGCTTCGCTCGAGCTAAAACTACAAAAAAACACTACAAAGGTAGGTTTCATACAAACTTTCATCCCATCCCCTATTAAAATAAAAGTAGCCTATGTCACTCTGCAGCCCTCCAACTATCTCCACGCTAAGAAAAACCGTCACTCTATTTCAACGTGAAAGAAGGATTATAATATTAGTATGGATGTCATCAATTTAGGCCTGTATAGAGGGATTTACAGTTACTAACGACTTACATCTCGGGTGCATCCTTAGATGCAACAGTAGTCTATGTATTGCTCTAGATATGTGTACTAAATTCCATCCATCCATTTCAGCGTGAAGGAGTAACAAATATATACACACACATAAATAAATAAATATGTTGGGACATTAACACACAGCAGCATCTAGTTCCATGATAAGCTATGAGGCTTGTGTTATGAATACTTTAAATACATACATATTATAAACTAGTTTGCTTCCCAATACAAAATTTAATCCCCATTTTCACCTCCTTAAGGGATGATTTCCGGGATAAAAAGTATCCTATGACCTTCCCAGGGTCTCAAACTACCTTCTTACCAAATTTCATCTAAATAGGTTCAGTAGATCCAAAGATTACCCCCTACAACATCACAAACTCACAAACTTTACCTCTATATAATATTAGTATAGATATAAACACCCATGACTGGAGTACAAACATTCGTGCTCATCACGCGACCCCGCGACCGCTGGCGCAGCAAGTAGAGTGGGTCACTACACACTGAGCCAAACGTGTCGTTAACTTTTTTTGTATTTTTAATAGTACTCAGCAAGTGTATTTCTATTTGCTATCATAAGTAAACAGAATTTGTAAGTCTTTGGTAAAATTTTACCAAAATTTCCATATAGTAAAATAGCTCTATCCTTTTGGCTAAATAATTTTTCTGGTTAGTCGGTAGTCAAAAATAACATCTTTCATCCAGCTCTATAGAACACGTTTTGACGACACATTTGGCTCAGTTTGTAGTGACCCTACTCACTGTGCCAGCGGTCGCGGGTTCGAGTCCTGCTGTGGGCATTCATTTGTATGATGAGCGCGACTGTTTGTACTCCGGCCATGGGTGTTTATATTTATAATATGTAGTATTTAAAGTTATATATGCGTAGTTAGTAGTGTATCAACTATCTGGTATCCATAACAATCAACTGCCTCGGTGGTGTAGTGGCTAGCATGTACGGTTGCACACCCGGAGGTCCTGGGTTCGAGTCCCGGGTCGGGCCAAGTTTAGTTATTGAGTCTTCCTATATAGTAAGTCTCAGTAACAACCCGGAGTTGGGAAGTTGGCGGTGTTTCACCCCCGTGCCTTGGAGAGCACGTAAAGCCGTCGGTCCTGCGCCTTAACTCTCACCGGTCGTGTCGAGTGGTCGTCCCACCGGAGAATGAGAGTGATAGGAATAGAGAGTGCACTTGTGTCTGCGCGTACACTTGAGCACTATAATATCTCCTGCGCAGTTGTCTAATCTCATTGAGATTGGCCGCCGTGGCCGGAATCGGCTAGGAGAACATCATCATCCATAACACAAGCCTCGTAGCTTACCATGGAACTAGATGGTGCTGTGTGTTAATGTCCCAACATATTTATATATATAGAAGAGTGAACGATAGTTTTCATCTTAGCTTTGATTATTACAAAAATAATAAAATAAAAGTCCCATCGAAACCCATTCATCAATTTTCAAGTGACGTGCGATCAACTCGTGCGGTCTGTTCGACAGAAACTATTAAATGTGCTTTTGCCATGTTGCAAATTTTAGTATATTATGTACTAGTATATACACGTGGCTTCACTGGCTTCATATGATTATCTACGAAACTAGGATATGTAATTTGGAATAT